ACAGAGTTGACTTTGTCACCCAGGCTGGAGTGCAATGGCATGATCTCCCCTCACTGCAAGCCTTGCCTCTTGGACTCAAGCAAACCACCCACCTCAGCCTCCCAAGTAGTTGGGACTAAAGGCGCATGCCACCATACCCAGCTAATTTTTTTGTATTTTTGCAGAGATGGGGTTTCACATGTTGCCCAGGCTGATCTTGAACACCTGGACTCAAGGGATCCTCCTGCCTTGGTGTCCCAAAATGCTAGAATTACAGGCATGAGCCACTGCATCCGGCCCTCATCAAATGGCTTTTGTAAGCCAGTTAATGCAAAGTACCTAGCATTGTTTAGTTTAGTACCTGACACATAGGTGGCAAATAATATTTTCCATTTTTTAAAAACTTCCTTAAGAATTTAGTGCCTGGCAGATATATTTGCCATTCATAGCTTTATCAATACAGATAGTGTAGGGAACAAAAAGCTGAGAAGTCAAATATTGGAGAGACTTTATGAGATACCTGCCACAGGCTTCCTTAGCTTATCTTCCTTTCTTATCTTTTCCATTGACATGAGTGCTTTTTTCCAGTTCAGAGGACGGGGAGAATGTAGATACAAGTCAAGGGTAGCTGGTAATGAAGTAATTCTAAGAGGTCTAATTAGGGTCTCCTTAATTTCAAATTGAGATTATCTTGGTAAGCTTATGTGTTCTGAGACATGGCTTAATGTGGCGGGAAGGTCCCAGCTCAGACACTTAACCTCAGACTTGATACCATCTCTAGTTGAATCCCATAACTGCCACATCTCTTTGAGATCCTTAGTAGTGACTAAGTCAAAACTAAATCTGGAGCCAGGCAAATGTTCTGCCTTGTCAGCATTTTTGTTTTTCTTGTATAATTTAAAGATCAGTATTTTCTAGGAATCTGCACTAGACTCCTTCCTTCCTTTCTTATATATAGGATTTAACCCCTAATCACAACGTTTGAGTTTGTAAAGTTGGACATGTTTATTTTGGGAGGTCCAGTTAAATTAAAGGAATTGCCCAAGGAGCTAGAACCTCTAGCCTCTTTAGTTCCCGTTTAAGATTTTCTTTGTTATATCGCACTGGATTGGCAATAGACCATTTCTTAATTTTTCTTGGGTGGAAAATCCTTTGTGGTAAGATGTTTATTTGATACATGTGTATGTGACAAAACATATGCAAGTAAAGGTTATATTAAAAAGGTAAGACGGTAATGTTAAGAATACATTTTGAATATTTAAATGTGTTATTTATAGCCTACTTACATTACAGACCTATGTATTACAAGCAAGAAAAATAAAGGTGTTGAATTCTTAATCAGTAATTTAGGGATAGCTCATAGTTCTTCTAGAGGTCTGGATAATAATTTCTCTTGTCTTTTCCTTCTGAAAACCAGAATCCCAGTAAGGAATGTGAGCCTTATCGAAGAAATGAAGACAAACCAATTGCTCCTTGTGGAGCTATTGCCAACAGCATGTTTAATGGTATGATATAGATACAAATATAGACATATATAATGAGGACAGTTTGCATAATTTCATTACAGATTTGATAGTTTAGTAAACATGAATAAAATTGAGAAACTCAAACATGTAAGACATAAGTTGAGTATTGAATGGGGTATTATAATGCTTTGTGATTTTGTTTTGAGCATACTTGTATTTTAGGATGGATTTCTGTCTCTGAGAAGAAAGAAGCAGAAACATTCTCCTAACCTTCCTATTTCATATAACTTAAAATAAAAGTTAGGCTGACCTTCCCACTGACTTTATTTTTATCATCGAAAAGGAGCTATAGTTGATTATTTAGAGCAGCACAATCTGATAGAAATATAATGTGAGCTGTAAATAAAAGTCCTGTAGGTAATTTTAAATTTTCTAATAGTCATATTTAAAACTGTATAAAGAAACAAGTGAAATTAATTTTAGTAGTACATTTTAACACAGTATATCCAAGGTATTATCATTTCAGCATATAATACTATATAAAAGTTGAGATGCTTCATACTCTAATTGTTTGTACTAAGTCTTTGATATCTGATGTGTATTGTACACTTATAGAACATACTCATTTGGACCAACCATATTTCAAGGACTCCGTAGCCCCGTGTGCCAGGTGGCTGTTGTATTACACAATGTAGGCAGAGGAATAGATCAGCAAGAAGCTATTAGAGATGCATTATTGAAAGGAAGGAAGGAAAGGCAGATTTACCTTGCAATTATAGTTGGGTTAATATTAAAACATTTGATCTTAGTGCATGTCAGCTAGCCATATGGGTAAGTGAATTAGAACTCTGTTAAGGGGAGAGAAGTCCTTCTAGAATTATAAAGTTACCATAGTTAATCCACATAGGAATCAATAACAGATGTATATCATATGCCTACTCTTTCACAACCATATTTGGAAGCAAATATCGGATCTTTATTTCTCATAGAGTTAAGCAGATGCCATGAGTTTTCAAGAGATGTTTAGTAATGTCTTCCTTTTCTTGTGTTTAGATACATTAGAATTGTTTCTCATTGGCAATGATTCTTACCCTATGCCTATCGCTTTGAAAAAGAAAGGTATTGCTTGGTGGACAGATAAAAATGTGAAATTCAGAAATCCCCCTGGAGGAGACAAACTAGAAGAACGATTTAAAGGTAAAACATTCCTAATATCCCTTAAAAAAAAAAAAACTAGGAGTTTTTTGTTTTTTTGTTTTTTTGTTTTTTTCAGATGGAGCCTCCCTCTGTTGCCAGACTGGAGTGCAATGGCACGATCTTGGCTCACTGCAACCTCCGCCTCTCAGGTTCAAGTGAACCTCCTGCCTCAGCGTCCCAAGTAGCTGGGACTACAGGCACATGCCACCACACCCAGCTAATTTTTTGTATTTTTAGTAGAGAACGGGGTTCTTTTGACGTAGCGATCCGCCCACCTCGGCCTCCCAAAGTACTGGGATTATAGGCGTGAGCCACTGTGCCTGGCCATAAATTAGGAGTTTTAAATTTTCTGTTTTTAGAATCTTAAAGTTTATGCTTTGAAAAACACAATTTTTCTTCGTCAGCTCCATACCAAGTTAGTTAAATGTTGTAATGTACTAAAATTCTAAAGGAAATGTATACTTTTAATTATGAATTCAGTTTCTGTGGTGTCTTATAAGCATTTCAGTTTTAATATTTTAAAATTGCAGCAAAGCTTCTTTTGAATAAACCCGTATTTATTATCCAAATTTACTTGTTTCCCTACTACTTTAATTGCACAATGTAATATTTATCTCCTCATCCCTTCCCCATTCCTTTTAAGGTACAACAAAGCCTGTGAACTGGCTTAAGCCAGTTTACATGCTGGATTCGGACGCAGATAATAATGGATTCATAAATGAGGATTTTATTGTTTGGATGCGTACTGCAGCATTACCTACTTTTCGCAAGTTATATCGTCTTATAGAACGGAAAAGTGATTTACACCCAACATTACCAGCTGGCAGATACTATTTGAATATCACATACAGTATCCTTTTTTGGCTAGGCATACAGATTCATAGAGCTTAAAAGGAGTCTTGTCCAACCTTGTATCTGTTGTGTGTCATATTACTTTGTGCCTTAGTTTTGGTCTCTGTGTTTTTACAGAAGTATGTGTGGTATATATGAGAATGTATTTTTAAATTTATATCTTCTAGAAATGTCTTCAATTTGCATATACTTGGTACTAGTGTTTGAAGCATATTGTTTGGTAAAATTACTTAAAATGTAGATGCTTGATTTATTAACAACCTAGATATTTTTATTTTACAAGGGAGATTGTAATTGGACTTAATGTAAAGGCCAATAAGTGTACCTAAAACTAAGTATTGAGTGGTACTGGGCTGTTTTAATATATATTTTTAGATAGTAAAAATCAATGGATGTGTTGATTTATATTAACGTAATTGTTAATGATTTTGATCTATTGATAGTATCAAAACATGGTATTATTAGCTGTATTTTTCCACATTAATAAGTTCACATTCAGTAATGATAAATACATTTATTCCACTCTATGTGTTAACACTGTGCTGAGTATTTTCCACTCATTATTTAATTCAGGCAGCAGCATATCTCCCCATTATAGACCAGAATATAGGAACATTGAGCACTTAGGTAACTTACCTGACATTACACAGGTAATGATAATAAGAATTGGGGTTCATAACCAGGCTGTTGACTCCAAAGGCCATAGTTTTACTCTCAGCTACCAACATAGGCAGCATCTCAGCTAGTTCACTCAGTTACACCAACTCATATCTGCATAGATGCAGTCTTTTTTAGAAGGAAAATACTCAGTAATTTCTTTTATTCTAAACAATCTTTGCATCTTTTAATCTAGAGCCTATATTTTACATACACTGTGAGTGAAGAGATTTTCCAGTATTAGAATCTTAAATGTTTGCTGCTCTTTGCATTTTTAATTTTCATAATCCAAATGAGTCATAATCCAAATGCATTTTGGTTTTTAAATGGATTAGTAAATGGTTAAATTAATAGACCCAATTTCAAAATAAGGTTTTTTTGAATTCTAGTCCCTTGATGTTACACCTGAATACACAAGTAAATATGGCCTGCTATGGCAGCTGAAAGTGACCGAAATTTTTGAAACTAAATCCACATTGGAGCAATTTTGGACAGACAGACCCAGTTCAAGTGCTGGTAGAAAGTACATTATGCTGAGAAGGCAGTCAAACTAGAGAACAGCTCTGTTAAAATTAGCACCCAGAAGATCTCTAGAGAGTAAGGGCAAATTTAGCAACCTGTAGCCTAGAGCACAATGAAGGGAAGTCTGTGGAGCACTGAGAAATTCTCAGTTGACAGACTATTTCCATACAGGAAGCCTGCAGCAGGGTCCCAGCTTTGAAAGAACTATTTAAAAGAATGAGTGGTGTATCGCAGATTGAGAGGACTTGGTAAGACAGGAATTTGGACCTGCAAAATATCAAGGGTTAATTATCAATATTAGGTATAAAGTGGTAATTAAATACTGGCATGAAGGCAGAAGCCTGTTTCTTTCAGGTTGGGATACTGAGAGAGAGCCTAGCATGGGTAATTTGATACTGTATCCCACAGAATGTTGGGTTAGCTAGAGCCCTTCAGATCATTCCTACCTTAGTTTAGGGTTGATTTAAGAAGTTAGAACTGAACCTGCCATTTGGAGTTAGGGACCCATAGGGACCCATCTTTCGGGATGGAAAGTTGAAGAAACTGGAGAAACAGATAGGGTCTAACCCTGGACTCAAAAGGTGCTTTTGAAAAAGTTGTAAACTTTTTGCATGGCGACTTGCAAAAGTCTCCTTCTGTCTTCTTCGCTACCTTATCTCTTACAAAATCCTAGAACTGGTCCATGTAGATAATTCATCTAGTACACAGGTGCCCTATTTCCTAAATCTCCTTAACAACCCACCCTTCACTTCCACTGTTTTAGCTGTCAGTCACAGAGTGAGTTTTGCCATTGCTCCAAATCAGCAAGTTAAAACTTTGTTATCACACTTTTTGACCTTTTGGCCAGAGCCTTTTTATAGTCTCATAACTGCACTCTTGCTTCATGTGCTCTTTGAGTTCACAGAGACTTCTAGTCCTTGATTTTTCATTTTCCCCTGGTCTGTCAGTCTCCTCTTCTTGTGTGGGCTTCATTGTTCATTGAAGTATTTTTTTCACATTGCATTCCTTTGAGGTCTTTTGCACCTCCCATGTAATGAGAGCAAAAGCGCCTAGAAACTGCATGACCTTTAAATTTGTTTGATTTGGTAAAATATTTTGGCTTTTACTTCTAACATTTAATTTGCTAAATCAGCCTTTCAAGATAATATAATTTTTATTTGTGATTTAGAACATAGGAGTAAGGTACCTGTATATCCTAGAATTACACAAATGAATTACTAACAATTAAATGGCAGCTTTCACAATTGTATTTTAAACATCAAGTAACCAGAGATGGAAAAATCTTCCTATACCCTCTTCAGATTACCCTGTACATTATTTTGATGGACGAAAACGGATGATCTTGAGCACTATTTCATGGATGGGAGGAAAAAATCCGTTTTTGGGGATTGCTTACATCGCTGTTGGATCCATCTCCTTCCTTCTGGGAGTTGTACTGCTAGTAATTAATCATAAATATAGAAACAGTAGTAATACAGCTGACATTACCATTTAATTTTATATCATGAAAGCAAATTATCTGCATGTGCATCAAGGCCAATTCTATTCAACCTATCTTTTGAATGCTGATGTCTGGTTAGTATGTCATTTTGAAGTTGGCACATAACTTAAAAAAAAAAAAAAAAACAGTCTTTGTCCTTTGCTTCTTCCCTATGGATGACTTCTGAAAATATATGACGGGTATAAAAAAAATTAGCTATATTGATCATATCAACACTGTAACTGCTGAAATGGCATTCTAATGTTAGCTTTTTATTGGGACAAGCCACATGATGCATAGAGCCTCTTTCATGTGACTTGTGTCTACTGCTTAAATGTTTATGCTGTGTTGATGATATTATATTGACATATGATGATGTATATGTGTATGTATTTTGTGGAGAAAGGGATTACATGAGTATAATGACTTGCTAATCTTTCAGGATTCAGAGAAAGATGAAGAAAGACTGTATCTAAATAAAACACTTCATCATTTTCATGTGTGTAAATGCTTAAAGTACCAACTTTGTTGAGATGGTTCATGTATCCAATTTATTCAGTACAGTTCTTTGTCAAGTTTAGCTTTGATTTCAAAGGACATGCTTACCTTGTCTAGCATAGGAATTAATGCTCATGTCTATAGTGGTTGGGTAGGTCCTGCATAGGAGAATTTAAAAATTCCTCTTTTGTTTGGTTAAATGTTGCAGTTAGGAACCCCAACTGACTTGGAATGTTTTTATATGTAATTATTTCCCTTGAAGCTTATACTTTATAAGGGAAGAAAGAGTACAGGTGAGTTGGGAAAACTGCTTGGCAGACCTTCATCTTCTGCTTAAACTGTAAACCACATGTAAATGCTTAATGGAGACTGTTTGCATTCTTGTGGTATTTAACATTCAGAAAATTACTTCGGCTTTGGAAATACCTCAGGCTGTTTTTTTATTTTGCAGGTAAGTGTTTTGACTTAAGTACTAATATTCCAGAAATTTTTGAAAACAGAAACCTTAATTTCCTATGTATTTCATTCCACTTTTGCATATAGGTCAAATAGCAATGTGTACACACATTCTTTTTAGTTAAGGCACCAATTGTTTTGGTTGGTTTTCCTAAGATATACTTTAAAAAGATGTTCTATAAATTTCCTAATTAAATTATGGGGATTTTGGAGTATGTACATGATAAATTATAATATATATATATGGTTGAAGTTATTTTACTTTTTACTGACTGGAATTATTTTAATATTCCTTATCGAATAAATGCTGTAACTTTTTTTGTTATGGAACTTAAAGTTCCAGTTAAAAACAAGTTTTCCACATGCATGAAAATGTATGTATTAATCAGAGGTGGCTTAATTACATTGAAATTGCTTTTTTTTTTTTTTTTTTACTGAAATAACTCATGTTTGTGTAGAAGAATGCCTGTTTATTCAGAGTTTATATTTTCCTTCAGTTATATTTTAAATCAAAAGGTCTGGGTAATGTATACTTTAGATTAATATATGCTTTTTAAAAAAAAACAAAAAACCATGTAATGATTAATAGTGGAAATGTGCCACACTTGTCAAGTTTTATATAGCATATGAAATTCAGTTACAAGAATGTGTATTTCATAATGACTTTTAACTGGTAAAAATATTACTTGCACAAAGTACTTGATGTATGGTTATCCTGAAATTTCAGAGTATATGGTGTGTTATTTGTCTAAAAATAGTCTTTGTTTTGTCAGTCCTTTGGAATGTTATTTATTCTGAAAATTGTCCCTCTTGCACTTGGCAGTTTATTTTCTGGGATACATTGTTGGGGGAGACGAGTTTCTGCCAATCTTTCCAGATTGAGTCTGTGCTGTTTAAGGAGGACTACCATCCTGCAACTCTTTTCTAATTGAGGGACAGAGGATGTCGCAAAAGAAAGGTTGAAGAGCCCTTTCAGCACTTTCTCATCTGTGGAGACGATGGAATCTTAAAATACATTTGGAGTTTTATCTGTTTTACAAGTACATTGATAGCCTAAGTTCCTCCTGTTTTCTGCTGTTTGATCTCTAAGGAACTGCTGTTGCTAAATGTGAAGAGTATGGAACAGTCATATGGTCTCTGTGAAACGTTGGGGGAGGGATGACATTTCTTTTTCTTGCAGGCTTTATGCTTAAATGTCATAGTCAGCTTTCAAAGAATCATGTTGTGTTTTAAATGCACTCTGCTTAAGTAGAAGACATTGAAGGATGCATTAATTTTCAGGAACTATTTTGAATTATGAAAAGATTCCCAATTGAAGAAATTATTCATTAAGTAAAAGCTAAATTCATTGAAATCATAAGGCATTTTAAGGATAAATTGATAAAAATAGCTGTGTACTACTAATTAATAGAAAATTGAAAATCATTCAACCAAGAGAAGAGTCAAGTGAATATCATTTGTTTATTGGCTAGTGAGTTTCTTTGTAACTTGGTTTTATTAAATGATAATATTCTGTTAGTGTGTCCTATGTTAATAAAAATGAACAAAATTAATTTTGCTATGTTCAGGCGTCTTGATAAAGTAACAGTGCCCCAGTGTTGTTGCTTATGTTTAGCACTGAATTTTAACACAGGGTCGGTAAGTCCAGGTTTTAACTTCTTCATGCCTGGATGGGAGAAAATATAAATTTAGATTTAGCAAATATGAATTGCTAAATCAATTCATATTTGTATTAATTACTGTGATAACATTAACCATCTGCTCTTACCAGGAATTGGTCAGATTGTCATCTGAGCTACAGTTACACTGGCTAAGTTTGGTATTAGATCAAGGGGAATGTCCAGTAAACAGAAAGAGAGGTAAGGATGATGAAAATAATGAATTGGGGTACACAAGAAAAACCCAAGTAAGGAGGAGCAGCTGAGAGATAGGGTCAGCGAATGTGGTTCAGCCTGCTACCTCTTGTCTTTATAGAAACATTGCCTTAGAATTATTGTATGACACTTTTTTTGTTGGTTAAGCTGTAAAGTTTTGTTCTTCGTGAACCTTTGAGGGGAGAGTGGAGGGAGTAAGGAAGTGATCCTTTTACAAGAATTTTGATGCGTAAATATCTGTTGTAGAGTTTGGATGATCTAGAAAAGTGTTTTAGAACCCCTTTTTATCCCATGCACCATTCAGTAAACATAAAAATCACAATTCTGCTAATGTCATTTGGAACTTCACAATAAATACCTTGTCTAAAAACAAATCAGACCATGGTGGCCTTATTTCCTTTTATATATCTATAATATTTATCAAAGTAACATGTGTACACAGTTTAAAAAAAAATAAATAGTAAGTTCTAAAGACTTTATGATGAAAAATAGTAGTCCCTGCCTGAACTTTCCTTACCTCTCAGGGGCAATCACTTTGACTCCAAACGTTGTTTCTTCTGTTACTTATCTTAGTGTAGCTAAAGAGTATGGCTATTCTGTTGTTTGATTTAACAATTTTAGACAATACTGTCTTCTCAGTAATGTTACATGATGATTTAGCTCTCTAACACACATACTTTGCCTTCTATTATATAGTTACATTATAATATTTAATAAATGTATTTGCTATTATTTAATTATGACTATCAACATTGTATACTCTAGGGCAACAGTAACATGATTTTCTTTTGCATAATTTTATTTTCCTGGAATTAATAATTGCCTCATTTTAAACATTTATATAACTTTCTACAAATGTACCTTAAAAATTTTCCAACTTCTCTGTCAGGTCTGCCATGTTCCCATCCACTAGTTTGAAGGGTTTTTGTACTGATTCAGATAGTGTCCCCGTTTTTACTAGAGAGGTCTCTGCTGCAGTTGTCCTTCTATGCCAGTCTGTACGGTTGCTCTCTTGGCCTGTTATACAGCGATGATTCCATGACCTCCCTTTGTCATCCTCCTGTGTTGGACTTCCCGTTTCCTAGTTTACTTGGTTTATTAGAGCACTTCCTAAAACACTTAGAGCTTCCTAAGAAAGTTGAGTTTTCTACAAAAAATTAGCTGGGCATGGTGGTGCGTGCCTGTAATCCCAGCAACTCAGGAGGCTGAGGCAGGAGAATTGCCTGAAGCCAGGAGGCAGAGGTTGCGGTGAGCTGAGATCGCGCCATTGCACTCCAGCCTGGGTAACATGAGGGAAACTCCCAAAAAAAAAAAAAAAAAAAAAAAAAAGCTAAGTTTTCTGAGTTCTTAAATGTCTAAAATACCCTTTTCTAAACTCACATTTCATTGATAGTTTGACTACACATAAAATTTTAAGTTAAAAATAAGCTTCTCTCAGCATCTTGAAGGCATTGCTCCACTCTTGTCTAGCTTCCATCGTTAATTTTGAGAAATTTGAACTTAGATGTTGAACTTCTAGATTGGTGCTTAATTTTCTTCTCTTTTTCTCCAGTTTTGGTGGTATTATCTCCTTTCTAGAAAAATTACTTAATTTGATCTTGTAACATCTTCCTTATATTGAATTTGTAGCATATTTCTAAAAATATTTTAACATCTAGAACTTCTTTCATTTCCATTGTGTTTCCAAAGTATCCTTAGTTCATAGATAACATACCATATTTTTCTGAGCATATAATATATATGAATATGTATTATATATAAATATGTATCATTACTTTTGTTTACTGCTCTGTTAACACCACGGGTTTTTTGTTGCTTTTTGTAATTTATTTTTTCTCTTGTATATATAGGTGAATTTCCTCTTAATTCTGGCTGGTCTTGGCAACATATGAGTAGATCCCAAAGCACTATTCGAAAGCTCTGTGTTTGTGGGCAATGCTTGACAAATGATGGGCTTCACTAGCAAAGTGCAATTCAGTGAATTATGTGTTACTCTATTCATGATTTTTTTAAAAATAATAAATAGTTTTAGGTCAGCATCCATAAGTAGACCATTTTTTTTTTTTTTTTGAGATGGGGTCTCACTTCATTGCTAGGCTGGAGTGCAGTGGTCTGATGCTCACTGCAGCCTCCACCTCCCAGGTTCAAGCAATTCTCCTGCCTTAGCCTCCCAAGTAGCTGGGGCTACAGGTGTGCATCACCATGCCCAGCTAATTTTTGCACTTTTAATAGAGACAGTGTTTCACCATGTTGGCCAGGCTGGTCTCAATCTCTTGACCTCGTGATCCACCTGCCGCGGCCTCCCAAAGTGCTGGGATTACAGGCGTGAGCCACCACACCCGGCCAAGTAGACCATATTTTGAGAAGCCCTGTGTTACGGAATCACTGGTAGGGAGCCAGTCTTTCCTTTGGCTAGAGGTCTTTTCTCTGGGGATATTCATTTTCTCTAGGGAAGAATTTTTTAGTCTTTTGCAGAAGTAAGGGGACTTCCTTGTCCTCCATCTCATCTACTTATTTCCACTTCACACGTATTTTCTTTTATCTGTCGCTCCCTATATTTCTTCCATGTAATTCTCTCCCGTTTATTCCTCCAGACAAAAATTCTGTGGTTTTCTACCTGTGGGAGACAGTGATGGAAGTGAGAGATCATATTTTTATGGCTAAGAGGTGTAGGGCAGAGGACTTTGGGGATCAGGCCATTCTGTTGTATATGATTTCAACTAGTCATTTTTAGGCCTAGACTCTCTGCTGTAACTTTTACCTCCAAATCTGAGCTTCTCAGGGGTTTTGGAATCAGTCAGAATGCTTCTCACTGGTATCCACCTTGTACTTCCTCTAGATTGCAGCTTTCTCTGTTCAGTTCAGTCATATTTCATCTGCCTTCAGTTTTCCAGAAATTTGTTGAAATCATTTGTCTGTTGCTGCCTCCTCTCTATTCAAATTTTGGGCTCATATCTTTTAAAATTGTTTTTCAGATTATCATATGGTAAATTTTACTTTTATTTTAGTAGCATAGAGTTTTGTGAGTTTTAACACCAGAGTTAAAGAGAAGTACCATCACTCCCCCAAAAACTCCTTATACTACCCCTTTATAGTCATTCACCCTTTCCCCACTCATAACCCCCAATTCGTTTTCTATCCGCATGATTTTATCTTCTAGAAAGTTGTAAATAGAATCATTACATATGTAACCTTTGAAACAGGGTTCTTTTCTTCAGTGTAATGCCTCTGAGATTCATCCAGTACGACGTGTCTTATTGATAATTTTTCTCATACCTTTTTAATTTCTTTGATTTTACTGTAGTAGGAAGGAGGAGAGAGAAACTTGTGGGGCCAATCTACTATCTTAAGTCAGAAACACCTTGAAGCAAATATACCCTTCACCTTTTGGTGGTTTTATAATGTTTTTAAAAATCTTAAAAGATAAACTTGTTATATACTTTAAATGGTATTAATAGGAACTTGTCTGTTTGTATATCACAGGCTTCTCTATCTAGGGCAATGTTGAAAAAGGTTGAACTCCCCTTACATCTCTTTCAAGCTTGTTAGGTCACTTTATTTCAAGCACAGCATTGCAGACAATAGTTTTACAAATATTTGTCAAATTGCACTTAACTCCCCCTCCCCACACCCCC